CGAATCTGGTATCAGATTTAAAACATATTTAAGTTCGTTAGGTAAGATCGAGGCTGTTGCTGCTAACCCCCACCTGAATGAAACAAAAAAAATTAAGTAATTGGCAAGTTTGTGGAAGGTACTGCCTTCTGAATTACATACAAAGTTTCTTGGTCCTTTAACTTTTAGTCGAGTGCGTGTAATTAAGCGTTGCAGCTTATGTAAGACAAACAGGAAATAAGGTTTAGCACCGGCGCATAAATAACATGCTTGAATCGACACACGCATACACACACATGCACATACTCTACGGTACGGTGCCGACGACTTGGCACATAAATAAAGCCATGCAAACAATGAAAACGGATAACATAAAATTTACAACAACTACGGCGTCGGCAAAACTAAAACCAACAAACAGCAGCACAAGCAGCTTTAGAAGCGGCAAAGACATCAAAATGGGTAGCACTAATACACACATACACACCCACACATACACACAAGCACACACACAAATGTATGTGAAGAGTAACTGTGAACAGGCCAAGCTTCCGTCTTTAATCAAAAGGTACAATGGGGCGTGGCCTACAACTGCTGACACACTTACCGGCAAACCGGAGCGTGTCATTATATATGCACATACATACATACTCCTGTACTGTGTGTGTATGCGTGTATATATATATAGTATGTGTGTGTACTACTTTAAGAGATGGAACTGAGAGCTATAAAGCTGCTTAGGCCATTGGCGCTAAGTGTAGCGAGCGGGGAAGTCAGCCAGATGGCTAGATAACATGCTTCCATACTCGCACACACTCGTACTCACAAATAGACAGATCAACATTTGAAAAGATATATACGCACTACTCGCCGATGTGTGCTTTGGAAACACGTGTAATTGCGCGTCTAGGATTTATGATTAATTTGTGTGCACGTGCGTCTGTGCGAGTATGGGTGTGTGTGTGTGTGTGTGTGTGTGTGTGTGTGGTTGTGTCTGTCTGTGCGTGTGTGTGTGTGTGTAAGAGAGGGTTGTTGCGAAACCTTAAATAACTCATTACAAGGCGCACAGTTTTGATCATGCGGCAGCGAAAAATTTGATGCCAACCCCGTGACATGCTGACACCCCAGGCAACAAAGCACGGAAGCCAAATGGCGCCCTTACTCTGCTCCTTCTCCTTCTCCTGCTCCTGCTCCTATCAAGCCTTCTTAATGCCCAAAGCAGCGGCGCAAATTTAAAGCTGCTGTCTTTCACTGCAATTAGTGGTCGGGTTTGTCTGCCTGGCAGCTCCAGGACGCCTGCCTGCCTGCCTGCTAGCCTGACTGACAGGCTCAATATTTTCCGGTTGCCTGCCTCTCCACCTCTCCACCTTTCCACCTGCCCTCCGCCAATCGAGTGTGCAACAACGTTTCATGAATATTACAACAAGTCAAAGCGCACAGTGGTTCATTGGCCAAAGACAAAGCTAAGCTCTTTTGCCAACATTAACAAGATAGAGCGTTACAGTCGAGCAGGCCTCATATCCTTTAGCCAAAAATCGTCCTGCTAATAGCAGAAGCAAGAAGGAGAAGACCTGAATATATAGGAAATTGCTAAACTTTGAATGTAATGTTATCTCAATGCGAACCAATGTGCATGGCGGTAGTCCCTCTGTCTATCTGTCGGTGGGTCTGTCTGTCTGTCTGTCTTTTATTGAGCCAGTCAACTAGTTATGCAGGCTCTTGAGCCTTTGCCTTTTGCATGTTGCGTGCGCGCCTCAATTGCCGCCTTTGAGTTGACGTTGCGTAAAGGACGAACGCAATAAACTGACTTAAGCGACAATAGCAACAACAACAACAACTTCTACTAGTATGCTGACGATTGATTTACAATAATAGCAAGTACTTTGTGCCTCGCTCGAGAGCGTCAACAATCCAGTCAGTCAGGCAATCGGAATGGCAACTAACTAAGCAGCAGCTTGCACTCCACTCCCCCCTCCCTCCCCACTCACCACTCTCCACTCCCCACTGCTCTCTTCTCGCATTGCGCCTTGCTCCACCTGACTCTACGCTGCCTTTACAATGGGCTCGTTAGCGTGGCGTATACGCAATTTCCAATTAAATAAAAAGTGGGCACGCACTCAACATTACAGTTGAAGTATCAGAACACGTACGAGTAAGAGATTTACTCGTTTGGGTTCGTTTCGTTTGGCTTGCCTTGGCTTGATTCGTATTGCTGGCTGTTTAAAAAGCCAACCTCGACGCGCATTCGTAACTGGCAAATTCCTTTTAATATTTATTTAACACAAAAGCTTTCCGCATTTTCCCGCCACCATTGCTGCCTTTAATTTTCGCTTTGCTTTTCATTTTCGCAAAATTACCGGAAATGTTAATTTCTGCACGTGCAGAAAGCGAAAAATAAGCAGTCGTGGCGACGGCGACGACTACGACCACGACGATGACGACTATGACGACGACGACGACGTCGACGATGGTGACTACATTTGCGAACGTCACGAAGGACGTGAAGGACACCAGGCTGGCAATGGAGCTCAGGCAGTAGTCAAAGTCGCAGCAGTTACGCCCATCATGCCACGTCGTCGTTCTCTTCGTCGTCTTCTTCTTCGTCATTGTCATCATTCCCCTGCTGAATAGTGCTAATTATTTAGGGTAGGATTCTCTATATACGTATATATAAATATACGTGTATGTGTGTGTGTATGACGACCCCCAAAACTCATTGCAATGGCCCTTAACCCCAAACGCTTCCCACCCCATGTGCGTCTGCGCGCTTTGGTTTTTTGCTTGTCACAAAAGCGCACGAAGGACAACGATAGCAACAACAACAACAGCAGCAAATGCAGCAACAACAACAACAACAGCAAGTGCAACAACAGCAAGCAAAGCAAAGTCGTCACAGCCCCAGAACGTCGCGACTTTTTCTGTGTCAAAGAGACAAAGCATACAAAAATAATAATAAATGATTGCGTTTTCTCGCTGTGTACATACGTACGTACATGTATATATTTGTATATAGTATATATGTATATTTATATGCGTGTATGTGTGCTCTCTTTGCATTATAAATGTGTGACTGTTGTATTTGTGTTTGCGTGCATTGTGCATCGTCCTTCTCGCATTTGTACTTGTGCAGCCTGCATGAGAGCGCCGCTTTGAAATTGCGCACTCAGCGCATTTTGTAAATGATATTTGGTTTAATTCTACAAGATTTGAGTGTGCCTACACACATATGTGCACACAGACACAAGCATTTCTATATATGTATGTACGTTTTGTATATGCATATAGAAGTCTACACAAATAAATAGGTTAATTAGTATTAATAGCTGTGTCATTACGCACGAAGGCTGTAGGACTTTGTCAACAACAAATGTCGCAAATATAATGGCAGGCAGAGAAGAAGAATTTCAGATTATGTACGCAATATATATTCCAGATTGCAGCAGATGTTGCACCAAAGTTGAATTTCGACATTAGTCTCAGACATCTGTGAAGCAAATATTAAAGTGTTCAGCTCGAATTAACTTTAGCATTGGGAATCGGGCTAGTCCGAAAGAATAAGTTCTTTATCAATAAACTGCTAGAAGCCTCTGCGGGGTAAAACTACTACGAGGGCTGCTCAATAAGTAACTGTGATTGACAAAATGACGTTATTTCATGTTTTATTTTCAAACACCGTCTTCCCCCGTTTTCCCATTTGTATAACCTCTGGAAAAGATGTCAATTTTCCTACTCTCCAAAATATGCTTTCCTCCTCCAAGCTACGTGTTCAAGTCCAAGAACAGAAAAAGGCGCTGGGTGGCAGAATAACAAACTAAGATGGAAAAACAATTCATAGCGGTCCAACCACTGCTTTGGCTTTAGTAGTTGCTTCTCTTACCATCCATCGACCAAAATATCAAACACATATAGCGGTTTTTCTATTTTCTCGATAAATGCGGAAAATGTGCAACTAAAAAGTAATCAACTAATCAGTTTGTAATTAAATATGACAGCTTTTAATCCATATCTATATAAGATGCTAGCAGCTCTCTGTAATATAGGAGTACTTATTGATCCGCCTTGGTTATATAAATTATCAGTCAAAAGCGTGACTTTGAGTTTATGTGGGAGTATTGATGAATACTGTGCCCATTTCAATAAATATTTGAAATTATTAATTGAATAACATAAATCCTGAATATTTCTTTAGAGATTAAGCGTTGTTTGCAAATGCAAAAAAAGTTTCATTTTAGCTTGAATAAAAAAAATAACAAGCCACATAAATTCTAAAGATCTGAGCCGTTCATTATTTTCATAAGACAGTTAATATTTTATTTTAGTAAAATTTTCTATTTATTTTGTAAGCTTTCGAGATCATTTGAAGAGTTTTCTGATTTTGAATATATGTTCAATAATTGTTCACTGAACATCAAAGATGATTTAAAGCTTTAACAAAATATTTTTTGCTTTAAAATTTCACAGAGTACACGTTTGAACCTAAATATTATTAGCTTAACAATCTTTTCTAAAGGGTTTGAGTGGGTTTCAAAATAAAAAGAAGTCCACGAAGCTGGGCTAAATGAAATCTGCTGTAAGATCTGCAATTCATAGCCTCCACTCACCTACCTACTCTTGCTGTATTGGGTGGCTCATCAATCTGTGGCGCTTTTTGGGTTAATTGGCTTATCTGTGCTTATGGGGCATAAAAATGTGAATCGAAACTTGCTGGCTATGGCAATACTTACTTATGTATAAATGTAAATAAATAATGAAGTAAGCGACACGTGGGGAAGCAAAAAGAACATGACTTGGATGTTTTGCTTTTTATCTTGATGCGTGTGCGACGTTCTAAATAAAATCCATGACAATACAAAATACACACAACCCTTTACTTAACAGCTCCCAAGCCAGCAGCCAATCTCTCCCGCACTATACCACCCCACCCCAGCCCCAATTTATTCTTGTGCTTGTTCTTCTGTTTATGCTTTTGCACTCAAAACTGTTACTCATGCATTGCCGTTTTTCCATTCTTCTCTTTGCAGAGCAATTTCACATTTTTGTCGGCGACTTAAGTTCAGAAATTGAAACTCAGCAATTGCGTGAAGCATTCACACCATTCGGCGAGATCTCGTAAGTATTAAAATGCAAATTTTCCATTTTGCAGTTAAGTTGCCAGCCATTGTGTGTGTGTGTGTGCGACTCGCATGGAGGCCGTTTCTTGTTTCTTTTCATTTTTTTTTTTTTTTTTGACAATTTATCAGTCATTTTTGGGCACGCATCGTCGTGCTTTCTTTCGTCGCCGTTCTTTTATGATTATTGACAAGCGTGTGAGAGGCGAGATGGAAAACCATTTTTCTTTTCAAGCTCCTTTCTGTAAGCTGCTTGCTGCCTGGGCAGGGCATGCAAAATTCATAACCGCGCGACAAAAATGAATTTATGCAAATTTCACGTTGGCGAACTCTTTTGCCTGCCACTGTCGCCACTTGTTGGCAGTCGCGGGGCCAGAGGTGTGCTGGCGTGTTGGCCAGAAGAAACAGCTGCTACACCAGCACTCTCAATACAAAAACTGGTGCGATGACACAAAATGTTGCCACAGCAAGCAAGTGGATATTTTTGTGCTGCCTGTTCCTGCCTCTCCGCGTAAGGATATTAGCCAGGGACACTAGCAACCAACGAACAGCAACAGCAACAACAATCGTTACATTGTAGAAAGTACAACAACAGTAGCATGGGCAACAAACTTTGCTTAATTAACTTCTGTTGAAGCGCAAAACTTTTGCATCAACGTTTTTAGAATGGACAGAAGGGCAGGAGATCCTGCCCGCAGGCCGCTTATCAAAAATTTTGGCTCAAGTATTTGATTTTTGGATTTTGCGCTTGTTTGACTTCGCTCGTTCAGTGAGTCAGTCAATTGGTGTGTCAGTCAGTCAGTCAGTTAGTCAGTCAGTGAGCCAGTCTGTAATTCTATTCATTGCCTCATCAGACAGCAGGCAATTTGCTAGTTTGATAATTTGAATTTTAATTCGAACTCATTATAATTATTATGTTTATGCTTCTGACAGTGCTAAAAGGCTTTTAGGCCTCCACCCAGTCTCCAGCCTCTTAGTTGGTTTAATGAGCGGCGCATGGTTCCTAATTAGGAATGACTTCAAGCCAAAAATCAAAGTGCCACCTTTCCGCTCAGCTTACCCACAAAATTTAATTGACAGACACAATCATCACAAATGCACACCGACTGACATACACAAATACAGACATAAAGCCCAGATTAAAGGCGAAACGAAATCAACACGCGTTTGAATGCGCAAGTTCGTGCACGTTTCGCTATTGCCATTTGGCAGCTGAAAAGACGGAGCGTTACGAAATCAACTCAAATCGAGTCGACCCTACCTCCCAAAGTATCGCCATCAGCATCAACATCGGCATCAGCATCAGCCGTATCGATAACGCCACGCAGCTGCGTCGCATTTGAGTTGCCGTTTTGACGCTTTATTGAGCAATCGATTGCCACCTTTGATACATATCGCTGACATCATTATCACCGATACATGTCCCAAAAAAGAAAAAGAAAGCTGCTAAAAAAGTACAGAAAGTCAAAGACGCGGAAACAACAAAGCCCACATCGCGTGCTGATTATCAGCAGAGCGAGCAGGCAACCAGGTGTTGCACAGTGGGCCGCTTAGGCAATTTAGCGGAGCAGACAAAAAGGCGTTACAAAACAAATCAACACCTTTGGAAGGTAGTTGACTAAACTATTATTAAATGCATATGTAAGCTCGTAAATTTAAATTCTTCGCTAGAGGGCAAGTCAAACTCACAAAACTCACATGAAATGTTTAAATGCGATGCTTCCCACGGTAGATATTATAGAACTCTACTCGTATATGTTGAATACATTTCTTGTTAGCTTGTCAATATTTAGAAGATAATCCAGTTCGAGTGCCTTATCCATAATAGATTAACACAAGAGCCTGTCAAAATATTATTAAGTATTGGTCAATTAGACTGCGAAAATAATTGTATTTCGTCAGTAGTTTGATGAAAACCACCCACTGTGCGGCTGTTCCGCAAACGCCTTAGTCTGCAGCTCGGGCTTAAATAACTTGCTTTATTTTGGCGCGTCAACATGTCAAAACGCTTAGCGCACAGCCGTGGCCGAGCTGCGTAGGATGGCGATCGGGGCACGGAGAAGTCATTCGTGCGGGACCTGCAAGGCTCTTTTCCCCAGCGCCTCCATGTTCTTTGTCAAAAGTTTTATGCGTGCGTCCTTGTTTGCTGGCTTTCTATTTGAGTTTGCCCTTTTTCATTTTTTTTTTTTTTTTTGGCTGGGTGGGGGCTTCTTCTTATTTTATTTTATTTTTTGCTTGTTGTGCCTGACTGAGGATTTTTAGCCAACATTTTTGTTATTACTTTTATTTCTGTTGCTGTTCCTGCTGGCTGGCGGCTCTGTTGCCTGGTTTTGGAATTATGTGCCCTGCACATTTTTGTTTCGTTTTGTTAAATGCGCGGCGCGTGTGAATATTTAATAAGTCGCTAGGCAGTGAGACGCAACTTTTGGCGTTTACTTATAATAATCATAAAAAAAAGTTGCTAGCCGCCGCCACTGTGGTTTATGTTTCATAAATGAAAAGTAAACTGGACTGAGGGAGAGGGTAATTGCTGAAGTTTCTACGCAGGCTTAGCTCCCGCACGGACATTGGCATTTGGACTCGTGCCTTTGCACAACTTCCGTGGGAAATCAATTTCTGGCTGCCGGAATGCCTCAGTTGACCAAACAGGGTTTGGCAAGGGGCTGGCAAGTGGCTGGCGAGAGGTAGTTAATAGTTTGCTGCTGGGCTAATGGGCACGGCATGAGATACGACTTGAATTAAAGGTCGCCGCCAATTACAAAGTGTAGCTTTAATTATTTAGCAAATGTTACTTAATGTGTGAGCTATCAGCACCTTCGTGGCTTCGAGAGTGCCTTTTTTAGACAAGCAAAAGCACATGACTCATTAAAGTGCCTCATTATTATAGTTAATCGAAAGGAGGAGGTACCCTGGATTGTTCGAAGAGAATAAAATAATTTGAAAGTAATTTAAATTCGAGTTCTACAAAATCGATAATTTAAATATAAGGCTGCTGGTTTGGTATTAGTCCATCAACTTCGAATGGTTTAATGTACCATTATTTTAAGAGACTTCTAGTACTTTTTTAGAAAGTATAAAAGAATTAAAGTCAAATAAATCTGCGGCATCTATTACAATTTTAAATTGTTTATTCTTGAGCTAGGATTAGCTCGGATATTGTTAGTAGTTGTTAAATATATTGAACGTTTTTCTTGACTTCAATCCCAATTTTTTGCTAGATCTATCGATTTTAAGCATTTAAAGTGTAGCGAAATCTTAATCCCAAAAAATAAGTCGTGCATTGTTTATTATGTATTTCTCCATGTTTTCGGGATCTTCCTATTCCTTTGGACAATACAAGTATTTGATGCCGAAGACAAGCAAACTATGTGATAAAAATTTAAAAAAACTTTCAGCATGAGGTCAGATTTCTAATTTCCGAAATGCGTCCAGCCCAATGAAGTATTTGTCTTTGTTTTTGTATTTGTGTTTTAAACTAAAGCGGAAATATTTGAGCACGTTTGAGTTGGTGGGCTCGTCCCCAGCCTTAGACTCGGCCTCGACTGCAGCTGCTGCCGATGGCGGTTTTCTTTATTAAAAATTTGCATAAATGTTAAAGTTTGACAATTTGCGAGCGGACGCTGGTGGCATTCCAAATATTGGTTGGCCGCATAAAGTCTTAAAGTAGCCTACGAAAAGAAATTATTTATTCAAATAGACCATTTATTTAAAGACGTTGTTTCTGACTTTCTTCTTCACCTTCCTATATCTTTGCAGGGATTGTCGTGTGGTGCGTGATCCGCAAACCTTGAAATCGAAGGGCTATGGCTTTGTGTCCTTCATCAAGAAGTCGGTAAGTAAAATTTATGCATTCTTAAGCACACATATAAATGCACATACTTGTATAATGTATATCTGTATTTCATTTTGCAATGTTCTGTTCTCTTCTCGTCTGTTCTCTTCATTATCGTTCACAGGAAGCTGAAAGTGCCATTACGGCCATGAACGGCCAGTGGCTCGGCTCGCGTTCCATTCGCACGAATTGGGCCACACGGAAACCGCCGGCGAGTAAAGGTAAGGAAATCATGACTGTCACCTGGCCAGGGTTGCCTTCCGGCCTGCGTTCGAGTCGAACCCGAGTCGCGTGGAGATGGGCTGACGACCTGCCGTTGGCTTTTGTCCTTACTCCTGCGCCTCCACTTCCTACTCTGTTCTATATAATGATATGTTGTTGTTGTGGTTGTTGTTGCCTTTGCTGTTGTCGGCGACGCGTCGTTCTTATTACAGGAAATTATGGCAATGAATGTCGAAGCAACAACAATGTCGGCGTCTGAGCGCATCATCGCAAAAATTTTCCACCAGATTATGTTTTCTTAATATTTTGTAGCTTTTTTTGTGTGTTTCCAAAAGCAAACAACCGCATGTGCTTAATTTCCGTAATGGTTTGTGCCAAATTTAACTTCTTCGGCAGCTTTAAACTTTTTCAATTAGCATAAATTCCATTTCCCATTTCACGGCACCAGCCACCGAACATAGAAATAGAAATAGATATAGACAGTCGGTCGGTCCCACAATAATATTCAATTAGGCGGCACAAAGGCAAATCAATTTTCATTTGAGCTTATTACACGCCCAAATTTATGATTTGTGCAATACTGAGGGGTGGTAAGAGGAGGGGGCGGCCATTATTTCACCCTTTTGCGCAAATGTCACAATTTACCGCAAAACTAACTGTAACTATAAAAGGCTGCCCCCAAAAATAATCATCGGGGGTTGTAGGGAGGAGGGCGTTTGAGTCGCCGTTTGTCTTTCATAAATCAGAGCCAACGCATATTTGCATGTTTTAACATAATTTTTATTTGTTATTATATTACACGCACACACACAGACACACGCACACACGAATGTGTAGTAGAAATCAGATAAATAAATTTTACCAACACGAAACTATTATCATAAAAGGCAAAAGAAAAGTTGGCTGCGGAGCGAGGTGTGGGTAGCATAAGCAGAAATTTTCATGGTTATAGAACAAACATTTGGCATTCCTACGTCCAACACACACACACACATACAGAGGCATACAGGCATCACCATCAAGGAGTCAAGGTACAATGTATCGTGTTTGGGCCTGAAATGTTGAAGGGTTCGCCCCGAAAGTAACAGTAAGGGTAGGTAAAAAGACAAATGCTTGGTCCGTGTGGTGAGGGGGGAGGTGGGTTGGAACTTGGAGTAAACTATGATATTTTGTTTTTGCATTTATATTGTTGTCATAAAAAACGCCTATGAAAGCTTAAGCGGATTTTTATTGGTCTCATTGTTTATTTGCTTGTGTCACGGCTTGTCTAACTTCGAGTCTATGTGCGTCTGTGTTTGTGTGTGTGTGTGTGCGTGGAAATCCCTGTGTGTATTTGTTTGTGTGTGAATGTGTAATAACACAAGTTATTATTAGCAATTTGGCAGCGAAATAATTTGGAGGCTTTTATGACACAACGGCAAAACAAAAAAAATCTGCGCTTACATGCATTTTTCGCTGACTCAGCAGCCAAATCGAAGATGTCCTTACGTTACACGCACACACACATACATGTTCTTTTACTATATACAGTGAAATCTCTGATAGTCAATATTTAGATTGATTTCAAATAAAACCCAATATACTACAAGCTAAAATATTAATACAAATCTTTGTTGTGCTTCAGTTGTAAGTCACAGTAGTTTTGTGAATTCATTCCGTTTAAATTTCCGATTACAAATTAATCAAGACATTAAGACAAAGGCATTTAGATCGGCAACCATATCCTACGAACGTCTTCTGTTATGGCAATCATTTATATTCTTTAAAATCTTAAGCTAAAGACTATAAATTTATTTAGGTTTCTTAAAATATGGTTTCCGGCACAAAACGCCTTGTTGCGACACTCTTTTTAAAATCTATATAATTTATTAGAAAAAGAAAAACCGAAATATACAAATTTTCGGTTATTCATATCAAGTAAAAAGTTAAAGATCTTTTCAATCTCTGCATCAAAAATTAAATGAAATTTTAATTAAATAAGAATTTACACAAAATTAATTCAGTCTACTATCAACTATTTGTGCTAATACTACATCTATAATAACTATTTATTTACGTATAATTCTATTGCAAAATTTAAATGTAGGTAGAAAGAATGAATGTCAAGTCTGAATAGGCTTATATATATGTTACTTTTATTAGTAATAGTGGAATGAAGATCACTTATACATTTCTCACCAAAATCTAAAACCGCAGGTCGAATAAATGTCCTAAAATCCAAGCTGGTCAGCTTTAGCCAGGTTCACTGTACTCGTATAAGTATGTACGTATGCTTAATGGGTTTTGTCAAAGAGTTTACGAAATGTTTTACGGCAGGCCTTGTGCTGCATAGTTTTGGGCGTATTTACGATTTTACTTTCCAGCGCACACATTCAACTCATTTCGCATTACTTGATGTTTTACGCTGCCACTTTGGTTGATTTTTCTGTTCTATTTTTCTTTATTTTTATATTTGCTTTTCTTTTTTTCTTAGCCTAGCCCTGTTGGTTAGCTCTGCCTCAACGTTTTTTATGTTTTAAGCAGGCTGCACATTTTACGACTGGAGCAATCAGTCGAGCGCCAAGCCGCACGTTTAGTGCGCCACTCAAATGTGTCGTGTGTTCGCTCTCTAAATGGGTGTGTGTGTGTGAGTGAGCGTGTGTGCGTTGCTGCTTTTTGTGTTGTGCCAAGATTTACGAGCCGGCGCAATTGCGCATTTTACAGTTGTGACAATTTCCCATTTCCGCCCGCTTTGTAATTTCGTGCGTGGTCCAAAAGTTTGGGTTTATAACAAACGCATTTGTCGCTCTTTATTGTTTTGAGCTGCTGTTTGCAAAGTTTCGTGCAAAACTTTTTTCCCCTTTTTCTACGAAAATGTCACAAAGCCAACTACGGTTGAATGTCGGAATGTTTGAGTGTCGGATGGGATGGGTTGGGATGGGGTGGTGTGGAGAGAGGGAGCACAGGTTGCTCGCTCTATTTTAGTGTCAGCGCATGCCATAAATCGAGGCACATGCTAACAAGCTCATTATGGTAATAACTTAATTAACTTGAAACAATATGCACACCGCTCCAGCAATGACAAATTTCTTTGCCAAAACTATTTGACTTTTGACTGAGTGCAGCGTTTCGAGCAACGAGTAGCGAGCAAATGGCAGCCCCATCTACCTAGCTAGGTAGGCAGCAGGAACTTTGAGCAAATTGTTTACCTCAGGTATGTGGAGGAATGGTAGCTGGTTGGCCCGGGGGCTAGATTGAGGCACAGTTTTGGGTGCAGCAGGCTTGTGGGCGTCGTTTCGTAACGAGTAACAATTGTTAAGGTTGTCGTCGGCTCGACGGAATAAATCAACATTTTATGCACAGTTGCGCACAATTACGAACTACCTGGAATGTTTTTAAGAAAACTCGTAGATGAAACTTTTGTGTCACATGAAGAATATAAAATGAAGAAAAGTAATAAGCTAATGTACCCGATGTTGTTTGCATCTTGATATCAGTGTTATATCTTTGACCAGTAGTTATAATAAAATAAAAAATTATTTTCCATTAATTCTAAGCTGTACATTTCTTCAGAGATGCAATTTATTTTTTTGTAGCTGTTCTGTTTTCATTGAACTACATTTTATTTAAAAAACATCATAATATAATAATTGGGCCAATCAAAAAATGGATGAAAAAATGGTTAAAGGTACAATAATTTTCTGAAAGAGCTATTGGAAATACTTGCTGATAGATATATAAGAATTATAAACGCGAGTATCGTACAGACAGGTGGAAAGTGGTGTCCAATTTGTTTCCATTTCAGTCAAATACTTGCGGATTTTGCGATATTTTATAATACTATTGACAGTCCTTTTTTACTTCCTAGCTAATGTGGGAAGTTTCAACTTTGTCTCAACGAGCTGGACATTTGTTTTGAACGTTGGGACTTTTCTTGAACGTACTAGAATTATAAAACAAACGGGTTTGCAACTATGTATATTTATTTATAAAAATTTCGAGCATTTCAAGAGAACTGATTAGTGTGTATGGATTGCTGAACAGAACGGGCAGTGGAAGACTAAAATTTTTAAACAGGGGTGCACCCCAAATAAACGTGCACGGCCGAACATTTCATGCATATTAATTACTTTAGAATTTGCTGAAGTGTATGAAATGTTGTTGTTGTTGTTGCTGTTTTTTGAGTCGGTCCATGTAAGAGTTTTAATAATTTATGTTAATGTGTTTGTGATTATTTTATGATTTAGTTTTACATTCCCTTAATTGCTCATTAAAAATGTAAGCCAAAAAAGGTCCTTGTTGTGGATGGTGGCCAAAAGCGCTGACATGCACCCATATGCTGTTCCCGCTCCTTAAGCAGCTATTTAACTATATAGTATAATAGCAGCCATATGTATATGTATGTATACGAATCGGACACGAATACATGTGTTAGACACTCATTATTTATTTAGATGCTTGTCATTTCAAGGATAGAATGAAATAGATCGAGATAGAGAGCGAGAACGAGTGAGAGAGAAGTGCATTAGTCGTAGTTTGTCGCAGACAAAAATGTGCGATAATTATGTCCACTTGGACACACATGCCGAGAGCCGAGGAAATAGAGGGCAGGTCAACCATCTGGGTGCTTTAATTTGCCACAGACATGAAAGGAAACGAACTCAGGCTGAACTGAACTGAAATGTAGGCAGCGCCTTTGGCCAGCTGAGCCAGCAAGACCCACCTGACGATTGCGATTGCGATTCCGACTGCAACGCGCCCCAAGGCTAAGCACGTACAAAAATATGTGAGGTCCCTTTGCGACTCTGCGGCGTTCTTTTTCGAATTTAATTACACGTATTTAAAAGCGTAAAGAAGAACTAATGCGAAAAAAAGGAATTAAAAAACGAAAACTAGCAGAAGAGAGGAGAAAACGCAGGTACAAAGCAGAGTGCAAATTAGTGAAATGTGGCGCTCAAAAGTATGCAACACTACTTGTCTGCTCGCTTGTGCCCGCGCGCGTGTGTGTGTGTATGTGTGTGCATGCAGTGCATAACACAAAGAATATATATTTGTGGCAAAAGCTTTCAAAAATATTTGCCAGCTTGTTAGTTTTTGGTGCGCCCCACCCGAGTTCTTTAGCTACTGATTGTCCTACATGCAAGAACATGTGTGTGTGTGTGTGTGTGTGTGTGTGTGTGTGTGTGTGTGTGTGTGTGTGTGTGTGTTTGGGGTTCTGCCATTGTATAGCGGTCCTGTTGCATGTCATTGAGTCATATTTTTACGTTTTGTTTTGCATGCTCTGTGCATGCCGCTGAGCTGTAATAGCAGGCCGTGTACCACAGAAATTAAGTGAAACGCGAACGAACGAGCAAAAGATATTCACGGGTATTTCATGGGGCCGTAGCTCTCTCAATGCCTCTTTAATGGTGTAGCACCAGATAGGGGTGCTTTGGCTCGCAACTCCAGCTGGGCTGTTTTGATTCCAACTGTACACTATGCTGTTTGTTTTGGAATGCTCTGCAAGTGAAATGGGCTCCAATTAAGGTTGTTTTGATAGACATATAGCTGTATATAGTTCATTAAAATAAAGCCATATAAATAGAGAGTGCGTTTTTAAACTTGTTTCCTTTCATAATGTGCCAAAACCTGACTTGGAAACAGAAATACGAATAAATAAACAAATAGTGCGGTCGATAATGTAAACTATTATATTAAAAATTAAACATTTAGTTTAATATATATATATTTATATTTAATAATATTACGTTATAATTCAAACTTAGAAGATAAGAGAGCCTAAGAAAAACTGCACAATAAGGTCTATTAATGCCTCCCATACTTTGGGGGAAGTTATCTGCCATTTAGCCAGCTGTGTTCCAATTCACAGCCATATGTGGTCAAAGACATTATAGAGACATTATATATAATCATTATTATTGTGGTCAGAGGCATTATAGAGATATTATATATGTATAATCATTATTATTGCAATCAATTATTTATTATTTGCCAGTTTTTTTTTGGCAAATCGTTTTTTTAAATAAAACTGAGAGAGCAGTCCAATAGATTTCCTACATTATAGATAATACGTAAATCAAAACATGGGCATTCATGACAATGTGTATTTTTTTATTGATTTATTTGAAAAGAATGGGAAACTTTGATGATTGCTTAAGTAGCAACAAATAGTGTTCTAGGCAATAATTTTATAATACGGATGCATGTGTTAATGATGGATTTTTAAATATAAATCATTGCCTATATAACATTTGTAATTTCTTTTTATTATTATTTTTTGTATTATTTATTACATTTCCTAATCAATTTTGTTCGCTGATTCTTTCACTTTTGTATCATTTTCTATATAATGGCTTTTGTAATCAAAATGCAACTCAATTAGTTCGCTTTTTAGTGCAGTATAAGCAATTGGAATTCATTTATTTCTGTAAAGCCAACATCTAACAAATATATTTTACTATGTAGTTTCGTGGAATAGTTCACCAGCATGTCGCCTATTTGAGTGCATTTCAAAGTTAGTTTATGTAAATTACACAAGGGGCTATAAATAAATTATGAACTGTCATTAGCATGCAGGAACATGACCGAGTAGGGTGCCAAGCACTTTGGCGCAGTTACGGCTGGCCAGATAGAACAAAATAATGCTAACAAACTTTGCCGTAGTCTCAAAATGCATTGCTATAATGCTGAAATTGTTTAAAACTAAACAAAGACATAAACACGCAAAGTTGACATTATTTTAAAAAAGTGCAAATTTTGTTTTAACCTCAAAGGAAGTAATTAGTGTAAATTTTGCATACAAATACGTGCATACATACGATATAAACAAGCCAACGACAAATACACTAGCAGCTGTAGGAACGGTAATGCTGTTGACTACAAAAGGCCGAAAAATAACAGCAGCAACAACAACAACTACAACTACAACAAATATATTCACAAAATATAATAAAAAATGCAATAACAGCCGCAACAATTTTAAAAATGCAGCACCAGCGACAGCAACAGCAACAGAGGCAACGGTAAATGGTGTCATATCGCGACCGCACAGTCGTGCCCTCACCTACATTCATACATACACACACACACACACACACACCTTTAATGCACACCCATGCGAGTACGGACTAAGTGCATGCGGTTGTTTTAATTACCAAAAACGGCAACGTTGCCACCAACATTGTTAATGTTGCTGTTGTTGTTTTTGTTGGCGCTGCTGCCGTTGTTGCGGGTAAAAACCGTTAATTAATTTGCATATTAATCATGCAGTTGTAAAAAGTGTGCACAAACATTCATATATGGCCCATAAACTGCGCCCATAAATTATTTGTAAGCCAAGCGAGCGTTCTCCCCTCCTCAAATCAAAATAACAGCCCCTTAACTCATCATCCTCTCGCTCTCTCTCTATCTCTCTCTCTCTCTCACACTTTGTTCTCTCTCCTCCTTGCAGAAAACATCAAGCCATTGACCTTCGATGAAGTCTACAATCAGAGCAGTCCCTCCAATTGCACCGTTTATGTGGGCGGTGTAAACAGCGCCCTCACCGCGCTCAGCGAGGAGGTCCTGCAGAAGACATTTGCCCCCTATGGTGCGATACAGGAGATACGCGTCTTCAAGGACAAGGGCTACGCCTTTGTGCGGTACGTATTAGACTGAAAATTCCCTCCTTATTTATAGGAATTTATGACATTTAAGACAATCAAAGTTCTTGTTGCAAAAATAATTTTTTGATGCAGCTTAGAAACGTTGTCTTTCAAAATCGTTCTATATGTATATATATTTATTTTTAAACATTAATATTTGATTTGATAAAGTTCTTTTAATAATGAGCTTACTTTTAATGCAGGCCAATATAATCGGGGTATAGGATTTCAATTCAATTGTATCTGGAAAAAAACAAACAAACAAACAAATATAATTCTAGACTGATGAAGTAGCTGGAAATTGACTTGAACATTAATGTTTTTGTTTTCTCAAATATCTTCAGAAGGACCCCCCATATTCAGTTGAAAATTTAAAATTTTATAATTTCATGAAAGCAATATTGTAAGTCATATTTGCTTAGGGACTATTATTTTTGGCTTCGTCTAAGCATAGTAAGAATGTCTTATATTCCGTAATCAAGCTCCTTTTAACCCGATGTGCTGACAACAGGCAGCACCTTGTACTATTCTACTTATATCTGATTTGGGAATAGCCATATGGTTTGCTTGGAACCAGGGGTCCCGCCGAGCTTCAATTTGACCAACCATTCATACAATACATACATATATAGTAGTATATTTATTATAATCGCTTTACTGGGCATGCATTACTTTGTCTCTTTCGCCTTGGTTTCTTTCCACAGCTTCTCCACCAAGGAGGCCGCCACACATGCCATTGTTGGCGTGCACAACACCGAAATCAATGCACAGCCCGTGAAATGCTCCTGGGGAAAGGAGAGCGGCGATCCGAACAATGCTCAGACCATTGCCAGTCAGGCCTTGAACAGCGCCGCAGCGGCCGCAGCCGGCTTCCCCTATGGCGTGGGCGCTGCTGCCGCTGCGGCAGCTGCATATGGCCAACAGTTGGCTGCCACCGGCTGCTGGTACTCCCCCACACCCACATACCCCGCATCGTCGGCCACAGCCGCCGCAGTCACACCCGCGGCCGCCAGCGCCGCTGCCGTGCAGAATCAGTTCCTGCAGGGCATCCAGGGCTATCATTTTGGCCAGTACGGCGGCTACCAGCAGGGCTATATGGGGTAAGTTCTGATACATATACGAGTACGAGTACGGGTACGAGGATATATCCTCCAAACAATTCGACATCGATTCAATTTCAATCGATGGCGTTGCTGAAAAATTCATAATTATTTCATTAGCTGATTTGCGTGCGAGTCGACTGTTTGCGAACGGGCGCATCGAGTGGCATTTGCTGCACTAAAATGTGCGGCTAAGCGGCCGCGTTTCCCGACCTGTTCAACAAACATACGAGCAGATATAAATATATTAATGTGTGTGTGTGTGTGTGTCGCATTTCGAAATGATTGAACCGCCACCGGGGATCGGCAGGGACAACATGACGGATGAGTGAATTCATTTGCTAATTGCAAAACTTTTTCATTTGTGTGGCGGGCGAGCACACACACACACACACACCAGGGGTGGAAAGCAAACATGCATTTTCAACAGAATTTCATTTCCAAGTGATAAGTATACATATCGCAGTTGAGGCAAACGATAAAAAGTATTTATGAGTGATGTTTATATTGAAAAGAAGACTCAATCAGTGGGAGCTTAAGTAAATGCAGAAAACTGAAAATAGTTGAAAAGAGACTTTATGATATTTTTTCAAATGCTACATCATTATAGAGCCAACTAATTTATAGAACTAAAAAAAAGGTAATTATATATTGCTGAGATTCGATGCACATTTGAACTATTTTCGAACTATATATTGAATCAGTTTTAAATATGCTTTTCCAAAGCTCAATTATTTTATGCAATTTGACGCTCAGCCGTCTTTGCACAATTAACGAATTTTCTTAAAACTAATTGCTTTGGTTAGCTTCAGACCAAAGTTTCTTAAGCTTGGATTTTTGATTTCTAACAAGAAATATACTTAATATAAGAGGAAAAGTAGTTAAACAGCGAGAATCAACTTAAAATGTTCTTGAGATATGTATGCAAAGACGGCAAAATTTAAATATATATATATTTTGTAATGGCTAGTGCAGAAGTAATCGTTATAAAATTTGCAAAGGCTTCTAAAGTTATCCATAATTTATTGTTGCGTTTGGCTTCTAAACAAAAAAATGATTTATTTAAAGTCATTTCGAAAGTCTGAAAAGCTCTTAGGTCTGACTTAATCGTTTTTAGAGTAGTTCGAGGTTGCCTATTGTGCCACTCTGTTAATGCTCACTAGTTACCAGCCCTGGGATACACACACATACCCTTACAGATACACACACACGCCTTGTCTGTACAGTTGTGACTGTGGCCGGTGGGGCGTACGTGGCGCATGAAATATATTTCCGCGTGTCGTGCTGTCAACATAACGTGCTATTTGCGTCGCGTAAATTTTGTTTTCCGCTTATGCCGGCAACATTTGCAGCAGCAACCAGCAGCAGCCAGCAACATCAGCAACAGAGGGAACAACAAGAACAACAACAACAACTGCGACGACAATGGTAAAGGCAACAACATTGCCGGCTACTGCAGGGCGTTGTAAATGTGGCAGCCGTTAGCTTTTTGTGGGCACATCGGCGCAGCGTCTGTTGTCCGTGATAATTGTGCGCACACCACGCTCCAGGGACTTTCACACAAACAGGCGCAGACTTGCATGCACACACACATACACACACATGCACACAGACACACACGCATTTGGGCGAAATGTGTTTCTCATTTTGGCAATTCTTTGCTCATGCAATCAACTCTTGCGCTGGCTTCCTTTCTAACTAACCCGTCTAACGCTCATTACAGCATGGGCGTGCAAATACCAGCAACCTGGCAGGGTGTCACCCAGGCCCAGATATCGCCCGCACAGCAATTGGCAACGGGTGTTGCCGGCACCGCCATCCCCCAGGCCGCCGGAGTGGTTGCCTACCCCATACAGCAGTTTCAAGTGAGCCCACAGGTATGTACCACCCCCTTCCAATTTCCAGTTCTTCAACCAATACCATAAGCAACACACACACACAAACACACACTCACATCTACACACCACATGAGAAAAAAAAATGGAGAAAACATTGAAACATTTTTCCTATGTTTGATGTTCGGTAGTTCTGAATGCAATTCTGTTAATTGTATTGACGATGATTTTGTATTCCTTCCATTTTCATTTGCTCGTTCGTTGGTTCGTTGAATCTTTCCTTTTTTTCGACATTGTTTGCTCATACACTCTGTTTGCCTGTTTGTTGTTCCTCTCATTGTTAGTTGGTATCGTTTTTGGTTTGCATATTTTTGGCTAAAACCGAAAATATTTTATTGCATTTCATAATACCTACAAAAAACACAAAACATGCATGTTTGAAAATGTTCCATGCATGTTCCATGAGCATTGCGGTTCTCACATACTATTTTCAAATGTGTATATTTGTTCATATGTATTAACTTCGTTTGAGAATTTGTTAATTGGAGTTTCCCTGCTTCGTGTTGTGCATGCAGCGTTCTCAAAATAGTTCAAATATTGCTCAAAACATCACACAGAGCCAATTTTTATTTTCGGATTGAAATATTCGAGTACATATGTGCATATGTGGGCTGTATTTACACAAACCAGAAAAACGTTTGATTTGTTCGAGTTGTTGATGGAATTTCATTAAACATAGACGAAAAAGTGAGAAAAAATGCATTTGTAGTTTTAAATCTAGGTTCTGTGACTTATAAATAATAATAAAATAAAAATGTTAAGCCACACAGATATTTTTATATTTGTATTTCCATTCAGCTCTAGAAGATATATTTTCACAGTAAGCTTAGATTTGAAACTTGAAAATAAATACCGTTGAATTGACGTGAAAGCTTGTTAACGTTAATTTAATTTAAGAAATTAAAAACACAATTTCAGATGATTCTTCTCGTTTTTAAATAACTTAAGAAAAGTATAAAACAAATTAATGCACACACGACTTAAATTGGCTTAAATTGATTTTGAAGAAAGGATTAAAGATTAATGTATTCACAAACAAACAAACAAATAGAGTTTTTCTTTATCTTGAAACGGCAATGGTTTTATTTATTATAACACATTTTGGGATTCCCCAGTGAAAGTTCGGTTGAAATAAATTTCCCGTAGTTCCCGATAACTACATCTTTTTTAAATGAGTGTAATTGGAAAAAACGCTTCAATCAACCACTATCAAAAACCAAAAGAAATTTCGAGCCAGATTCAAATTCAAACAAATTGCTCTCTCTCTAATTGGAGACTTTCATGCTTTATCATGCATGTTTTTAATCGTGAATCGCACAATCCAAATACTTTATATATTTTACAGCATGCATGCGATAGCTTTAGCCTGAATGCTTTAATCGTTGCTTTTGATTTCTGCGTAATACACACATTGCATACAAAAAGCCAAACAATTAACTATAAGCTCGCACAGAATGTTTGTCAAACAACAGTACCCTAACAACAACAACAACAACACACAATCCACTTTTTTGCATATAAAATACTGTAAATTGTTTTTTCAAAAAATGCTGCATAAACTTTTTCTGCATTATAAATAATTTTTTTCCGACTACTACTTTTTTCCAATTTTTACTAACACCCATATTATTTTTTAAGGTTTATCCTTTACTTTTGCAGGCACAGTAAAACAAACACAATTTGCAATTGCTATGCAAAAACAAAACCAAATTTTTACAGTACAGCAGAATATCTGAACAGAAACAAGTAAACAAACTGAGCTGTAAATAAATGAAGCGCAGAACAAGCCCAAAGAACAAAACAGAACAGAAAACAATTGCAGACGAAAAATAATAAAAAAAAAACAAAAAAAAAACAACCGACGGAAAGTTGGCGTTTGACGAGTAGCAGCACCACAAAAAAAACCAAAAACGTAAAAAAAAATAAATATATATGTTGTACACGCATATATATGCATGTATATATATACATATATGTATATGTATATATATATATATTTGTATATATATATGCTTATTATATATAGAGGGCATAAACAATTGTAAACGGCCGTTGAATTAGCGTTAAACAAAAACCAGATGCGAATATTATACAAATATGCAACAAAATACAACTACATACCTACATATTTGTAACCCTAGCTGCATATAAAAGCTTACAATACCACAGCCACACAACCACACAACCACACAGCCCACATCCCCCAGATACATACATACATATATCATGCATATATAGGCATATAAATTTACACTTTATATAAATGTTTTAAGCATAGCGCATGCCGCCACAAATAAAAATAATAATAATAATAATTAATTGAGAAAGGAAGCAAGAAAAATAAAAACACACTTCGTATACATACATATGCATACATAAATTAAAAGAACAAATACAAGTTGGTGGCAGGAAAACATAAATAACATAAGTATATGTTGTGTTCCGTGTATGTATTGTGCAAGGCAGGCCGAAACACACAAAACAAACACACACACACGCACACCCAGCGGAAAACATGGCGAGGAGTGTGCGGCATTAAATTAAAATAAATATAATTAAAAATGAGTTAAAATTAATTACGCGCATACACACACACACACACACACACACAAACACGTTCACACAAAGACATAAATGTATATGCGCAGAACAAATTTATGATTGTCTGCGTGCGTGTGTGTGTTTGTGTTCTTACATATATACATACTTGTATGTATGTATGTGTGCCATTAGCCCGATATAAGTAACCACGACGACTATTGAATAGATGGAGCCGAATTTTCTGTCAGCATTTTTTTAACTAGCTACTGTATTGGATCTGTGGTAGGGATGTCCTTCGATGTCTGTTGAAAAATCCCTTTGTTTCTGATTTTTATTTAATACTACATATAGAGCAGTGCGCTTCAATTTCGAGCCTTGTTTCTGATTTTAATTATTCTGAAAGCACCTTGATTAATTCTCCGTGCATCGAAAGCTGAGAAAGTTTGTTTCATTGTTTTTATTGGTCGAATTCTTATGAGCAGTGTTGCCTAATTTTTTGCGCGGGTTATATAGTTGTTTAGACGACACTTTTCTATAACAAAAAAAAAATAAAATAAAATAATGCCTAAACTAACTAAAACAGATTATATATATATATATACATATATATAGCACTAGTGCCTATTATAATAGATGAAAAAGAAAAAAGAAAACAAAACATAATGGAGGTAAAAGTAAATCTCTTAAAACTTTAACAAACACACAGCTACGCACTGTCTTAGCCTCGAATTAGCTGCAAACATGCACATACACACTTGCAGTCATACCTTCTATACATTGCACACACACACCTATACACATACATACTTAGTAACAACTGCCATGCCAAGCCAAGCCTAACAATTGGTAAAACAAATCAACATGTCCTGCTATCATTTTCCTATTGTATGCAACAGAAAGTTACAAAAATAAAAGAAAACGAAACATAAAACGATAAAATGAAAATTGAATTAGCCTATTAGCAACTTTAATTTGTGATTACTCGATAATTGAAGAGACATGTTCCTAAAGCGTCTACACTCAGTCACCAATACACACAAACACACACAGCAACTAACATAGCTCCTAGCTACACACATAAGCACGCACTCGCAGTTATAAAGTACTTGATAACGAAACGCAAGCCGTAATTGCAACAATAAAAACCTATACTATAAGTCCTATAGTGCCCAGTCCAGTCCAGCCCATGTCCAGTTCCAGTTACAGTTTAAGTTCGAGCCGTAAGTTTCAGAGCCAACACAGATCACACACAGATTTCTAGGCCCCAGCCTTATTATCAGTTCAAACTTTTCTAGCAGGCTTTGATAATTTAATTATACTCAATTTTTAAACATACTCGTATGTACATCGATATTAGTTCATTTAATTGCTCATTGCCGGTTTAATTTGATTTCCTATTACTCATTAACATGTACAAAAAGCAATAGTCATGCCACACACTCACAAATCTGTCACAAAGTACAGCTGTACATATACAAATATATATGTCTTTACCTTGATTTCTATTTATACAAAAACAACAATCTTTTCTACATACATACATACGTATAAACATATATAGTATATGCATATGTGTCTTATATATGAACAAAATATTCGTTATTTTATTTCAGTTGCCAGAAGATGAATGGTTAGCTGCAAATTTATTGTGTTAGTTCTCGTTGCTTAGGCCAAACACAAATTATATAGCAAACTTTACAGAAAATAAATAGATCAAGCAGTATATATACATAAACTCGTGCGTATATATACATATATACATATGTAAACACTAGCAACATCCCAAACAGAAGACAGAAACAAGAAGGAGCCGCCCACACACATACACACACAAACACATACACAAGAAATATTTTAAAACAATCAAAGTATGCCATCGAATGATATTAATTGATATTAGCTAAAGGAAAATAGCCATAAATAAATAAATACTAAAATAAATATGAAATAAGAGTGCAAAATAAATGTTGAAAGGTCGCAAGAAGCCAGCAGCCGCAGTTCAATGTGAGAAAACTCATTTATCGTGTTTCAATGTGTAGGTCATCAGCATAAATACTCATAATACAACAGACTTAGCCACAAAATATCATCAAATGCAAAACGAACAAACACCCACACACGTACATATTGGACGCGAAGGAGACGCACACATAGACATGTTAGAAAACATTAATCAATTAATTTGTAAATGGCAGACATAATTTTTAATGTGAAGAATAAACGCTTACATACATACATATATACTAAACGTACCGACATTCGTTTTAATAATATAATAAAATAATAATTAGTGCAATGCAGTAAGGCACGCATACGCGCGCAATCCTGAATGGGCTAAGGCATGGAATGGAAAGTGTTGCCTACTTATTGGCGCATCTTAAAAATGCCGTAAACGGTGTAGCTGGAGAACTCTCTTAGAAACAACTAGGCAGAGATATTGAAACCCTTCCGATAGTTGAACTTGGCTATTCGTGCCGGAATATAAATCTCATATTTTTCGTTATTCATTTTTCTCTCTAGAAAACCTAACGCCTAATTGGAAATATTTTAATTTTGGGGAAAGGCATCAAACATTAATAAGCCATTAAATATATATGCTCTGAGTAGACTTTATACTTAGCATGAGTTGCTGTCATTTAGTTCAACCATAATTGGTAAGCACACAAGGTGCAAATATAACTTCATTATTCATGTACTCCGGCTCCATTCCCCACTAGGCACCGACCACCCCTGAGTCTTCCGATACTCTGCGGAAAACCACAGACGACTCTCAATGAACTTTTCTGTAGGCAGTATCAGAGCCATGTTTACAGGCTGCTTCTCAGATTGGTGCTACATAGAGCAAGCAGTTGTGTGCGTGTGTGTTGCAAACAGATTTCAGAAACCACAGCAATATGTTTTTAATAACATCAGTACAGATGTGAAATATTTACATACTCTTACTTTTCACATAGACATAAGACAAAAGATAATACTGAATAACATGAAGTATATGATAAACCAACTTGCAAATAGAAATGCTTGTGTAATAATGAAATACATACGCTACTATACGTGTATCTAAAATGAATGTGCAACACATACGAGTGCGTATGTGATTTCCAATCGACATATAGTACGAAAGCAACACAACTCTATGGCACATTGTGTAATGTGCTTATGGATGTATGTGTTGATAATAAATTACAAATAAATGTTCATAAAAGGAATCCAATTATAAAAAAACAAATACATACAGTATGCTTATGATAGACAGAACAGATAATAGTTTGTGTGTTTATGTATGTATGTACTATGTGCGATTCATATACAAGTATGTAGAATAATTATCAGCTTGCAAAGATCTCTGATCGTCGTGACATATTTTGTAGATGTATTTTTCTTTCAACTAATGGAGGGTGCACAAATATTGTATTACAGTGAGTGTAATTCCATTTATAGTATCAGAAGCCAGATGAGGCAGGCGGCCAGCATTTAGTTTCGTTTTTTATTAGCACCAACAACAATTAACAACTAATCGAAATCGTGGTAGCAATGGCAAGCACATCGAGTACTCATATATAGTACATGTTGTATATGTGTGTATGTCTACATATAGCTAACCGAACTAAAAAACACGTGGACACAGGACGAGTAATACAAGTAAGCTCATTTAAATACATTCATATAGTAATATATTTTTATGTATGTGTTGAAAAATAAAAGCGAATACAAAAATGAACAGCTAGCAGTTAGAAAGTAGGAAATTGCGCTCTGTATGATAGAGCTGAGTTGCAAGCATGAAAACAAAGACAGAGACAAACACAAACACACACAAAAACACACGCATACATGCAACTAGAGGGAAACATGCATAACTGTAGTAAGTATTTAGACAGTTGTATTGTATATTGAAAATGTTTTTAGCACTAGAAATTAGCTGAACTATAAGCGGCATAGCATGCGAAGCTTTGCAGCAGGAGCAGAAGATGGCAAACGACTTAGATTTAGATGTGATTTTTAAAAAGCAGCCAACGGGGAAGCATGTCAGTTAAGGAAAGCAGCGAGTATGTATTTCTGTTTGTTATTTTGTTTATACAAGAAAAAAACCAAAAACACAAAAATGAAAAAAAATTCAAATAAAATTTTGTTACGCGGCAAGAAACAAGCAAAAAAAAGAGTAGGCAGTCAGTTTATTAGAAAAACCAAATATTGTTGACCAAGCGATTGAAACATGAGTAAGTTTTGAGATAAATGGAAATTTTGGCTAT